ACAGACCATATGGGGTCATATTGGACCCCACCAGGCTTAGCTGTCCACTTTATGCTGTGCTTGGAACTGGTAAGACAGACCTGCTTCTTGCATTTCCGGGAGTGGAAATGGAGCTACTGAAGATAAGGGCAACAAACGTGATGGTACTTCATGTTGTGAGAGATTGATTCTATGCTCCAGAAACCAGAGGATACATATACCTTGGCCCATTCACAGGATAGCAGAGTCAGCTCATGTTCATAGCAAATTCTTTGAGACAATTTCAACGGGGGTGATAGAAAAGCAAGCTTCGCCCATCCCATCTGGCACCATTGCTCCATGTCACACATATCAAAATTTCTCTGTCTGTCACTGCAAGTGCTTGACTTACTCGTGAGAATCAATTTTCTAGACTTCCTACAGTGTCCTGCTTTCATGGCTACATCTTTTCGTTGAGCTGATTTGCCAGAAACTCATCTGCTGAAGTGACCTACAGGCCATGTCCTTCTGTATCTGCAAAGAAGAGGATAGACTGTCATGCCTGTCCTGGAACCACATCAATTACACCTGGCAGAGCAGCACAGGCAGTTGTCACCACACCACAGAAACTCCCAGCAGCGATACCCGATGAGGCCATCACAATCATCAGTGACACTGTGCACGGTTGTCACTAGAATGATCTCTGAACAATTTTCAGCATTGGCACTGTTCTCTGTAGATGGTGGTTCAAGCATTACTGCAAACCTGGTTAGCCCTGCAGCACAAGCTGTTGAATTCATGTACATTGATAAAAATTAATATTTGCTGTCCTTGGCACAGCATCTGGCAGAAGTGACTCTCCAAAAAGGATCTATGAAACATAAGGGAGTACCAAGTATCAGAGACATCTCCTATGGCACCCTATCTACCCTGCCTTCTCTTCACAAACATACTGGAGTAACCCACAGGGTGCAGTAATCTCTCTTTGCCTGCTTTGCAATCATTATTTTGATATTAAAGACCAAATTTTCCACCTAGCTGGTTAAAAAGAGTTAACAACTCCTGTAACCCTTGCACCAAAAAATTCTTTGCACACAACTGGATCTAGTCTAAGTCTCCAGGTCCACCACGCTTCTCCAGATCTTATGCCTCTACAGTACCCTTTTCATTTGATTAGCATGCGATGTAAGTGGATTTATCACCGCTCCCTTATGTCACCTGTTAGTGACATAGTACATATGTGGAAAGAAACACACTCACCTCTTAGGTAACTGCTGAGCAACCAGTCTGATTCAGAGCCCAGACTCCTGTTCTGGTGGTGCTGAATTTTTATTTTGTGCCTTCAGCTGGGTGGTGGTTTTGGGACCATCCTGACAGGACTGAAGCTCTGTCTCACTAATTGATAGAGTGAGATTCTCATTATCTTGTGGCTGGTCTGCAGTGAGCACAAACAACACTGGATGTGGGAATAAATGAGGGAAACACCTAGATACTTTTTATGAAGGCATCTGGAGGCTTGAATGTTCAGCTGACAATATTGGAATGATATCTGCCATTTCTCAGCTGGTGGTGTGTTTTCTTTAAAATTTGGTCCTGATCTGTGTTTTAATTTGAAGAACAATTAAACTTTATGCACAAATAATAAAAACCACATCCTATATTACAGAATATCTACTAGATTTCTGAGCAGGCTAGAAAGTATACAAACACCTTTAGCATAGATTGCTTTTCTCACATCATTATTTTGTTCCCTGTCTCAGCAGAAGAGGGAAATATGTGATGCACCTTCAACCAAACACATTTTGGAAAAAAAAAAAAAAAAAAGGAAGAAAAAAAAATTGAAATCCTACCTTAAATAAATCCACTCCCATATCTTGGTCCCCTGTGAAGAGCAGCAGCTGTGAAATAGTCCAGAGACATCAACATTCAAATCCCTCTGAAATAAATGCAGGCAGCTCACCGTACACTGACAGGTTGCTTTCATGGTTGCACTAGTTTTTAAACCAACAGTATTGACTTCAAAGCAAGATTTAACATGATCTACACTTGCATGAGTGACAGATCAAGCCCATTCTTGGTTCAACAGCTTGGGCAGTTCGGACTCGGTTCAGCTTAGAAACTTAGCACCATCAGTAGGAAACTTTTATTTGAAAAGGAAAGATTAAAGCCTGCAGGAGCTGATGAGGATACCAGGAAGAGCAGGCAGAGTGAGGCAATGCCTAAAAAGCCAAGTGTTACACTTCAAGTCCTCTGCAGCTGCCAGCGTGCTTTTCCCTAGACCCAGAGGACAGAAACTAGCAGAACAGTGAGAACAATATAAAGAGGCAGGAGAAGTGGCTGGGGTAACCACCTTGACAAGTTAGATAAGCTCAGGAAATGAAGGCTTTCTAAAAGATGAGGTGGGGCAAACAATTCAGATACTCTGTCAAACAGTCAGGTCTTGAGTCTTCCCATAGCTTGAAGGTCAATCACGATTTTATGTAAGATAATAAGATGCTGGAATTGCAGCTTGCCAACAAAAAGTTGGTGCATTCATACTTACATTTCCACTGGATTAAAATATGACAACTTAAGCAATTTTTATTTATGGAAGGCAGCTCTTCTTCAAAACCTTCTAAAACAATTACAGAGAACTACATCTCCCGAGAACATGCATGCCTGAAGATGGAGTATATTCTAGGAAATATGTGATCCTTATGCTAGATGTGCTAATTCCCTAATAAGTACTCCATCAGTTTTTTTCTCAAGCTAGCTAAAATAGAGTCTCCAAGGACTGATCAACTCTAAATTTATTAAAATTGATGTAAGTCTGGAAAAACTCCACTAAAATTATGCTGGTGGAAAAGCCAGTGCCAGACCATAACTGAGCCTCATGGGGAAAATCCAAGTCTGAAGTTCCTGGGAGTTTCATTATTGCACCAGTGGTGCAGGGATTTCTCCCTAAATGTTCCCCAAGCCCAGGGATAGTCAGCCTGTACGTTCTCTAATGTGTAAGGGATGGAAGAAATCAGAAGAGAGCATATAATAAATCAACTGACAGTCTCTGAAAAATAGCCGTCCTGTCTCCTTAATATGAGAGAGAGTAATGTTCTGAGGGCAGGAGGAATTCGGCTTTAGCCAGAAAACATTCCCCTATAGGGGGACAAAAAGTGATCATTCTGTAGCTTAATCAATCTCAGGCCTCTCTTTGAGGGAAATAGCGTGTTGCCTGCAACAGCACGTGTAATAATGTTTGCTGAAATATAAACTATGGCCGTATACCCCAAGATGGAAGGTCAGAAGTCAACTGAGGATCTGGCCGCAGATGTTCGGCAATGGAGATCAAAACGCAATATATCAAGTTCAGTACTTTTCCTCGAGGAACAGGTTGCAGAAATTTCTCAACACGTCTCCTTTGCAGTAAGCACACTCACCCTGCATGTAACAAGTCTGTACATCACCAAATTGCCAGGTTACTCAAAGACAAAGTTCATGTTTCCTAATTTCTCCGTTCTGTGCTTGAGTATTTTAATATTTATACAGTGATTTTTCTCTTATCCACCAACAAAGCTCCCTTGAACCTCTGCAATGTTTTTCAATTCCGTCTACCAAAGTGAAGAATTGTATGACACCATTCAGTCCTCCCCCCAGCCCTTGATATATATGTTTCCTAAAGCCGACATTTGATATTATAGAACGTGTTGTAATCAATTCTTAAAGTTATAGTACCACTCGATTTTTATTAACTTGCAAAACAACAACAACAAAAATCCAACAAAAAATGGGCCCTCATAACCAATCAGCCTTGTTATATCCTGAAAGCTGCTTTAACAAGCAGGGAGTAATATAGTGTAATTGGTACTCCACAATTTAATTGTTCTGTTCTTAAATCTAATATTGCAGCTGTGGGTTAAGTTTACACCACAGCTTTCAAGAGAACATGAAAGTGTGGTACATCTGTGCAACAGAAAGCTAAACATCTCTCATCTGATGTGTTTACAATGACATTTGATAGCGTGGAATGGTTTGGAGTTCATTCTTAAAGCTGCAGAACCGCTTTTCAACGCTGCAAAAAAAAGGGAAAAAGCCTCCAATTTCCTTCAAACAACGCAGCCCACATAAGCCTGATGATAATTCTGCTGCAGGCATTGCAGGGAAGCTGCCAGCTGTGACAATTCCTTCAAGTATCTTTGAGTATTTGTCACTCAGGCAGTAGAAAAGGGGACAAGGACACTTCCCCCTCAGATGACATAATCAATTATTTGAAAAACGAACCACTCAAAAAAGGCTGCAACTAAGACAAGTAAAACAACCCCTGACATACATAAACCAGACAAGACTTTTCAAGAAACATTATTAAGTGGATGACCTTAGCACATTTAGAAATGGCAGAGTTTTCAATTTAACAGGTGGTAGAACTGCTTATGGTATCTCGGACTTCACATTCTGTATAACTAACAGCTTCAGCATTATGTACTTGTTAGTGAATTTATTAAGCCCGTAAGTAGTTCAAGAAACTTAGGAATGGGCCCATAAATGTCATCTGCAGTTTGTGAACTGCAAGTATCTGACTGTTTTGATCAAGGTTTTTACGGGAAAGTTAAATGGTTATTAAAATTATTTACTACTGCTACACGAAAAGGGAGCAAGCCTGCTGAAGAACTTATGTTGCGATAAGATGTGAAAGGCTGTAGGTCAAATGCGTTAGTGGAAAAGCATTTTGGTTTATGCCTAAGCCCAAATTTTTGTACTTTATGAAGCTCAGAATGTATTTAAGTAGCTGAGAAAGGTCTGTGGAGGGGAGGAGGCATTTTCCCTTTCCCATAATCTGCTGTCAGAAATATAAGATCTGTTCAGGTTACTTTTCTTGTTCTCAACATTAGCCTTTTTCTAACATTTTCTGTCCTTGGAGAAATGCACGATAGGGCAACTTAAAGAGGTTACCTTCTGGTCATTCCTCTGTAGCAGTCCACATCGATGTCTTGATTTATGCTCTTTAACAGATATAAGTCAATCTCACTGATGAAGCTCAGCTATATTACCATACTACACTGGAATCCATTTAGTTTTTAAACTTTATTATTTCAGTCACAATTAAGACTATCTGAAGCCTCTTCATAAAAAGGGGCCATAACAAAAGCTGTACGTTAGCAACTCGATCAATGGATGCATTCATTCTGCATCAAAATACCGTAAGAAAGACAGATCTCCTGGGGAGGCAAATCTGTATCAATATTTCAGTCTCTTGAATACAGAAATTTGATACAATAAAATGCAACACCCGAGCTTCCCCTCCTTTCAATTAACTGAGAAACAAAAATTGTCCTTAGAAGGGAAGAAATGCATTTGTATTTTTTTAGTTTTCGGGTTTTCCCCCCTTTCATAGCATCATAATGTTCTCTTCATGGGTGGAAAACTTAGTCTTCAAATTCAAGTCTAGTTTCTTCATACAGTTCAGGATGAGATGACTTGGAATACCGGGAATATTTCAGATGTAGAAAATCACCCAATTCATCCAGAGCATTCAAAACCTGTAAGACCATTATACTATGTCAATTCTCTTGGAAAAGAAATGAAGTTCTAGTAACCTCTACTTCACAGCAGAACAAGATTATAAAAGTATCAATTAAAGAAAGCTTGAAGGGCAGATGGGCAATTTTTTTTCTTTCATTCTCATGTAGTGAACGTCAATGCAGTCGTAGATGTATGATAGCATCTACGAGAACAGAATTTACTCCTTCAGTAGGTTATGGTTTATTAGTAAGTACATTAATTCAAGACAGATAAAAAAAATGACCTTTTTCTAGAAGTACAGGAAGATAATAACCCAGATAAAAAGTGATCTTTGCTTGTGCAAAACAGCTGCATAAGGGATTTCAACCTTTCAAGTTCAACATTTCCCTGCAGATCCCAAAGCCTGAGCTGCCACTGCATTTTCTCAGGTAGGACTCAGCCCACAGTGTGATCAGAGTCATCATAAATAGTCTGAATAGTTTAAGATATTTTTAATGCATTCCATTATCTTCTTGTATTAATATCACAGGCATAATTAATAATACATTAATATTGTAATGCAGTTAGCTGAGCTGCGTCCTCAGCTCTCAATAGATCAAAAAGTAGCCAGAGCACTCTCTAGCATAGAGCAGCAGCTCAGTGTTTTGCAGCATCTGAGCCACACTCAAGAGCAGCCAACCTTTTGGCATCAAAGAAAAGAGCAAGTTTGATTTTGAGCCTGTTTCTGTTAAGCCACTAAAATGAGCTCAAGAACAAAAAGGAGTAATTTAGTAATGGTTTATGCAGAGAGATAGCTTCGAGATCATTAAAGGAAGTTATTATTGGGAGCTTGCCCTTTCATGGATCTTTCTTCTCTTGTTCCAGGCTGAGATTCAAAACAAATTTTGCCAAAGGGAAAAGTTTTCATTGTGCTTGTTACCTGTTGTTACCCTGGGTTTAGGCATACTCACAAACTGTTTGTCCTAAAAACTTTCCATCTGCAAGTAATTAAACTCAGGGCATTTCCATTCCCCCATACTGTAAGGACATTTAAAGAATGCCACAAGTACTATGGCCATGATCCCGCTTTCAAAGGCAAAAATACAGCATGTTCAAGAATGATGGCTGGGGAGTGTTTCAGACCTTCACTGGTACCAGGAAGCAGCGATGTGCAGGTAGTAGGAAGTGAACATTCACTGATGGCCCCAAAAAACACGATGGGCTTGACGTTTGGGCATGGGGGTGGAGGAAGAAAATAAAAGCAGTAGCCTCAAGAGAGTAATCTTCAGATCAACTTCATCACCTATTGCTAGTTACATAAGCCAAAGACCAACACGGTATGTAGCTATGTCCCGTTCTATGCAATATTATTTTTACGGTATTGTACCTTGTCAACAACTACTGCACCTTTAAGAACAGATGGAATTTTACACTGCACACATGCAAGGCAGATTTTTCAATGTTGTTTGAGAGGGGTCTACACTGGGGTGGGAGCTGGTCAGCCGGGCAGGGCTCTGGCCTCAAGCTCCACATGAATCTCAGGATGCAAATGGACAGCCAAGGGGTCTCTGCAGGCACAGGTGTTTGTCTGCAGGAAGGAGTGGCATCAAACTCAAATGCCTTCCATGTTCACGGATTTTTTGCTTTGAACATCATACTCGTGCAAAGAGAGGAAAAAGAAAGCCTGAAATTTACTGTTAAGCCTCTGTGTTTCATGCCTCTAAGTCAGCTTATTCTGAGAATGAAAGAACGTATATCAACCAGGCCAAAAACACCTTCGGCAAGAAAGGGAGATGGAAAATTTCAGAGAGTTTATTTTAAACACATTTCTGACTGCGTTGGAATGGAGGTTTACGAAGAAGTCTCAACGTACTCTTAACAGTATTTCTGATATCAGAGAAAGACATAGAACTGAGACAGACCAGACAGCACCAATTAAACTTCCTTAGGTTCAAACAGTTCCAAATACTGTTTGTAATTTCCACCTGTACCCCCAAGGCTGTCCCATATACTTCTTCAACTCAAGAAACACGTGGAAATACAGAATTAAAATAAGGGCATGGAAAACTTGATTTTCAATTATTTCCATATTGTCTCAGGTTTCCTACTCTGATAGTTTTGACCTAGCATTTAACTTTTGTCTTGCTGTGCTCTTCACATAGGTCTTTATTAGTGATGACACATTTGGTGACTATTAGAAATAGAAGATAACAAGTCAGCTGTTGTGTAACTTATTTTAAAAAAAAATAAATCTATAAGGCTAAAATGCCTTTAAAGATCAAGTGACAAGGCCAGAAAAACAAATGTAAAAATGAATTATTGAGATTCAAAGTAACAGACACACACCTTTTCCCAACCTCCTTTGCATCTGAAGTTAATTTCAGCAG